AATGTAAAAGTTACCTTACATGATAAAGGGGACCTAGCAGGCGTGATTAGGGTAAGGGTCTTGAGAAGGGGAGATATTATCTTGCATCATCTAGGTGGGCCCAATGTGTAATCATGATGTGGAAACCTTATCAGGAAAAAAGGAGGCAGGAGAGTCGGAATCAGGGAGGGAGAGATTAGAAGATGCTTTGCAGATAAAAGTATGAGACCATGAGTCAAGGAATATAGGTGGCCTCTAGAGGCTGAAAAAGACAAAGAAGTGAATTCTCTTCAAGATCTCCGTAAGAAAGCAGCCCTACAGATCCATTCTCAACTCCAGAACTGCAAGTAAGAAATTTGTGTTAGTCAAGCCACTAAGAGTGTGGTAGTTAGAGCAGTCATAGGAAACTACTTACACTTGCTAATCTGCAAGAATTAATCAAATGCCAGCTCATCCTGAATCCATTTCCTGACTTCTTGCAGCTGAATTTCAACTCTGCATGATTTAACTCTTTTCCTTTTGGGCCTCTTTTATAGCATTGACCTCACTTGACAGTATAGTATATGCACATGGTCCCTTTTCTTAGCCTTTATTTAGATACAAGTAGTAGAAACCCAGTTAAAACTAGTTTAAGCAAAAAGATAATTTACTGAGTCATGTAAAGGGAAATGTCCAAGGATGGAGCTTCAGGGACTCTTGGACCCAAGTGCTTAGTGTCATCAGGTGTTGGGCTGCAGCTCTTGGCTCTGCTTTCTTCTGTGTTGTCTTCATTCTCAGGTAGACTTTCCTTTTACAGTGACAGTGATGGCTGCCAGCAGCTCCAATGCTAAATAGGTAGAGTATCAACAATTGTTAAATAGGTAGTATAAGGAGGTAAGCCTCCTTATACTCCTGTATCAACAATTGCTAAATAGGAAGGCTTATACTCTACCTAATTGGCAATTGTTGCTGAAACACTGACTCTTTCCCAATTGTTTCAACAAAACTTTCAGAATTGAGTCATTTTGGCCTGGTCTGAGGCATGTCCCCATCAATGAACTAATTCATGTGGTTAATGGAGTAAAATTGGCTCTAAAAGCCCAAGCTTGGGTCAGGGTTAGGGAACTCACTCCAGTTTGCTTGTTGCTTTCCTGATTTTAGAATTAGAAGTCCCATATCCCAGGAACCTCTTCCATTTGAGACAAACCAAGATAGCTGGCACCTTAGGAGTCTTGCCCTGCAAATGAGGGGAATTACGGTCAGCCCACCTGACTCCCATAGTCAAAGAATGAAGGTGGGGTGGTTTCCTGGAGGAACCGCCAGAAGGAGGAGGAATGAATGCTGGGCAGGTAAAAGTAGCAGAATAGTGTCCTCTCCATTCGCTTTCCTAGATTAGAGGCACCTTGAGGGCAGGGAATAAATCTTACTTATTTTTGTATCTTTTGAAAAATTGAGCACATGGCTCTCCACATAGGAAGACCTCAAAAGAATTTATACTGATTCTTTCATGACTTTATTAAATAGTTGAAAAAAAATCCTTTAGAGTGAAGAATGTCTAACACAATAGTTCATGGTGGTTAATACAGAATCCTTTTTTAAAGGAGTGCTTAAAAATATTTTACAATCTCAACTTGATTGAGATTATTCCAATGTAATCTTACTGAAAATGGAGTAGGTGAAAAGTTTCACCAAAGAAACTTTCAAAATCACTAAAATGCGATGATAAGGTCCTTTTCCCCCGTTACAATAAGATAAAATCTGCATTGTTTACTTCGACATGTAATTTATATTAAAAAGTGAATCTTAAATACTCTCCTAGTGACTTGAAATTCAATTCTTTAGTTTCTGTCGCATCATTGTTTAATTGGAACAGAGCAGTGGACAGGAATTGTTTTTCTTTGGGCAGGGTGTGGCTTTTGCTCTGAAACCTTTTTCCTGTTACTTCTAACTTCTGACCTACTCCTTCCAGCAATGAGTTATACATCACAATTAGAAGTATAAAATAGAAATAATTGTATAGAGAGCTATGTCTTTAATTGTGAAAATAGGATAAGGCTTTTAAAATATTTTGTGTTAACGAATGAATGTTCAGCCTTGAGTGTAGTTCATGGGAGAAAAAGAAACTGCCTCTGACATGCTGCTTCCAAATCTGACATTGCTCCATGGAGGCAAATACTCTAGTTGTAGTTAGTTTTTGTGAATTTTTTATTGATAAATGATATTTGTATGCATTTATGGGACAGATGTGATATTTTCTTATATGCATTGAATGTGTAACTATCAAGTCAGGGTATTTAAGGTACCTATTACTTTGAGTATTTATCATTTCTGTGGGATGGGAACATTTCAAGTCCCCTCTTTGACATACACAATACATTGATTTTAACTATAGTCACCCTACTCTGGTATCAAACATTAGAATATATTTCTTCTATCTAATTGTACGTTTGGTCAGTCATTTCTCTGTAGGGTATATTCATTTGTAAATATTAAGTTTAGACTATTGCTTCCAGTTCATTTCAATCTCTAACATAAAATGGGTTTAAAGGATGTCTATATTTCAAAAAAAATTATATAAAATTCCCTTTGCAAAAGCTGAGCTGAAAAAAAAACATTTTAAATGAATATTATTTTACCTACCTAAATAAAACAACATTTAAGTCTGAAAATCACACTGTAAATAAGAAATTTATGTTACCATTATGTTTTCTTTTATAATCATTAAATTCCTACAATGAAACTATAGTGAATTTTGTGGCTGACTTCCCAGCACCCAATCCACCTCATTTCCATTGAGCAAAAAAGTGCAGTTTGGGAGAGAACTCAGTTCAAGATGTGGACTGCATTGGTCTACAGGTAACTGTATCATTTGCTGGCTTGGATTTGGACATATGACACAATTCTGTCCAAAGTGATTGAGGGAGATAGTTGCTGGAGACTTCTAAGAGACAGAGGAAGTCTAGAAGTCATTTTTGTCACTCTTGGAAGTGAAAAATGAATTACCTGGTTCCTGTTTCTGCTGGTAGTTATATTTCCCACTACAGGAACCAGGAGCCAACTCTGTTAAAAGCCAGGTGTAAAGCTGCAAAAGACTGAGTACACCATGATATTGTTGAGTTGCTAACTCAACCAGTCCTGAAGTCTGCCTTACCTCTGGACTTCTTGTTCTACAAGGTGATAAATGTCCTTGCTATAACAAGATTTTGGCTGTGGTTGAAATGGTAAATATAGAGAGAGGATAACAAAAGTTTAGGGCCAAACGTCCTTATGTGTCATTTTGTCCCTCTGTTCCTGACCCTATATCTTATAGAGCAGGAGCCCAGGCATGAGACTTCCTAATTTGACCCAGCCACATGGTCAGTAGCAGTGGATAAAGTCCTTCTCTCCTGATGCCCATCCAGCTGCTATCTTCACCACATATTTGACCTAGATGGCACTCGGTTTTGTCCACCCTTTAAGCATACATATGCACCTAGTGAGTGAACAAACAGGATATGTACAATACCTTCTAATGCCATGAAATTTAAGTTCTGTTAAAATTAAATTTTATGTAACTGGACATTACATAAATTCCCCCAAAACTTGGCCTTACCCTGACTATTGTTCAAATTGGGGTACTTTTTTTGGTCATAATGATAATATTCCCCAAGCCTTAAAATGTGTCAGATACTGTGTTGAGTACTCTACTTGCTTTATCTCATTCATTTGAAAGTAATCGTAAGAGGTTGGTATTGTAACAAGGCCTGTTTTGCAGATGAGGAAATGAAAAGCTCAGATATGTTGTGACACTGGCCCATAATTGCTCTTTTGGTGGATGACAGAGTGAAGATTCAAACCAGGTTCCAGGGATTCAGCTACATACCCTCTACCATCCGCTCTAGCTCTGACAGCCCATGCCCATATTTACCAATGCAGAGGCCAACCTGAGACTTAAAACTGGAATTTATTAAGGTACAAGCTAATGACATAATACATCTATTGCCAAATCATTTCCATGGCTGCTTCCAGATTCTTAGTAATAGCTATACTGTAAAGTTCAAATCAAGGGGACCAACTTCAGACTTAGATATCGCAGGTCCACGACTGCAGTTTACTAATCCAGGCACTGGATTTACAGCTATTAAATGCTTCACACTTGAGGATATTGTGTGTGATTAATATTCTTAATTTATTTATTTAGACTTTTTATTTGAGCTGGAAATATAGTAGAACAAGAAAGAAAATACCTCCTGGAGCCTGTATTTTAACATGGGGGACAATGAACTCGGTGCACCTTTAAATGTTCCATTAAATTCAATAAAGATTTAATAAGTATTTCTATATCAAGTTCTGCGTTTGGCACTACAGATACGAGAAAAAAGATGCTGTCCTCTTATTGCCAAGTGTGACTGGACAACCCAACTGTTAGCGAATAATTGTAATTCTGTTTGGTAATTTCTCTTTCTGTTGGAAGATTTACATTATTCTATTGAATAACTTTCCAATCAAAAGCAGGAGCACAATCCCACATAGAATCTGTCAAAGTAAGTGCTCATTTCTCAGCTGTAACCCATTACTAGTTCCCTGCAGCAGAGACTGTGCTGCTTTTAACCCTGTTTGTAAACTGCTTATTAAACCAGCTTCCCCGGTAAAGGTGCTCACTTCTCCAGTAACACTGCTATGGCAGATCCACGTTTCATTTATCTCAATTCATTGGAACTGGCAGAAGCTTCTCTAGGATTGTGCCGAACTTGGTGCAGCCAAAGTTGTTTTCTTCGCGGCCGCATAATCTGCCAGGTGCACATTAAGTGGCAGAAGGCCCTCGGCTTGGCAATTGCCAGAGGCCTTTTGGGGACTTGCTGGTTTTTAGGTCCCCTGAAGGGCATCTTGATCTAGGATGATAAGAAAGGGGCGAGATGAGAGATTGGAATGAACCTCTACTCTCAGGTCCAATTCGACCTCGCCAAGCACCTGTCTAACCAATAGGAAAGAAGGTTACATTCAACTCTGTATCCAGCATCCAATCCAAGAACATGTCTCAGACTCTGCTGCCTGGTCCCAGCCCGCCCCGAGTTGGCGCCGCAGAAGCTGGTCAGGCAGCTGAGTACCAGAGCGGCGCAGATAGGGAGGCTTGGGGCAGTGCTCCGCGGCGCGGCGCCCGCTACTGCGCAGGCGCCTCAGGAAGAGCTCGGCCTTGCCCTTCTCCCTACAGGTCCCCTTTCATCGCAACTTCCCACGAGTGTCAGGTTCCGCGACCGCCGAGTTCCGGCGCTGGAAAGAAGCGGTGGCGGCGACTGGTGAGTACTAGCCTCGAGCGCTCGGCGTTCTGGGGGGCAATGTCACCCCCTTACCAGTCCACTAGGAGGTTTGAAAATAGAGATGGGGAGACCCTCTGACCCACTCTCCCCAACTACACGCACATCTCTTGGGGCGCGTCGGGGACGTCCACGAAAGGACTCAAATAGCCAGGGAGGTGGTGGGCCGAGGCGGAGGCCAGTAAGGGAAGAGAAAAGAAAATTTACCAGGTGGTTGTGGAACTGGGGAAGGAAACCTGTGGTGTTAAGGGTGAAGGGTGAGTAGTCAGCTGGACGGTAGTGGAGGGACCGAAGGTGGAGCTGGGGTGAAAATGAGGGGAGCTGGGGCGGGGTCGCTGGGTGCCGGCGCTTGGGAGGGAAAGGCGTTTGGTTTTAAAGGAGAACCACCCATGGCATCGACATGCGTCTGTCTGAATAGTAGATCAGAGTTGGTTAATTATAGATAATCATATTTAAGAACTAATTTCCTAGAAAACAAGCCAACCAAGCAATAAAAGGTACATTTAAGCGCTTTTTTAAGGGCTGGATTAAAAGCACTTTAAGGATTTACAAACAATGCTTCCTTTTCTTGTCACAACCACCTATGAGATCATAGTGTTCCCCTTTTACAGATGAGGAAAGTCACGCTCAGAGAAGAGAAGGGACGCGTCCAACCAAGATTGGACAGCTAGTGACAGGCAGCTTCAGGTTTGCACCGGTTCTGACTCCAGAAGGGTTTTTTTTTTTTTTTTTTTTTTAATCATCAGGCAATCAGACCCAAGTTTGAAGGAAGAATTGCTAACTACTGTGAAATATCAACTGCTGATTTCAGTATTATGAACTTTAATTTCTTCTCCCACCTCTCCCCTCACCCCCCGAGATTGTTTCAATCTATTTTAAGGAAATTAAGAGACCTGCACTTGTGCATCTTCTCCCCACCTCCACTTAAATTAGTTACAGAATATAATTTGGAAGAAATGTTGATGAAACGATAAGGAGTAATAGAGGGAGGTATTTTACTACATAGAAAGTAATATAAGTGAAAGTGTTTTGAAGATGCTAGAAAATTTTGTGTATGCTAGAAATTTCTGTGTGTTTTACAAAATTGGAGAATAATTTAGAATCCTACGATTTTTAAGACCAATGAATTTTTTTAGGGAGTATATATTTTTCCTTAGACTGTAAGAAAACAGCTGATAATAATCTAAAAGTAACTGCCTAAGTTAGCTATAGATATAGAATAAAGCTCTTTTAAACGCGTATGAGAGTTTCATGGTATTACAGAGCAGATGGCATACTAATTTTGACAAATAACTTTCACCATATCCTGTAACGGTTATCCCCTCTCAACTTCACATGGGCTAAGAATGCCAGTGAGAGTTGACTGACATGCATTCTACCCAGGCAAGAATGTCTTCCCAGAGAAGTTAGAAGGTAGTTTGTCCCATGAATTGAAGACTGACTCACACTTCCAGCTGTTGTGGGGATATTTGATTGCAGTCTAGAGAGGTCTGCTTTTTTTCTTCTCTTCGACATCTTTTTGGTGTGCAAAATTACAGAATTTCTCTCAATATGTTGTAATACAACAGTTTCATTCCCTGAAAACTTAATTTTTACTGCTTGGAAACTGCTTAAGAACTTCTCATTGTTGGTTTCTCTATAGCTTAACACTCCCTATTAGAATGAGACAGAATGTGGTAGACATGGATCTAACACTGCTAATAAAAGGTGTTCTGTCAGGAAGAGTTCTGTTAATAGTTTGGAGATTATTAATAGATTTGTAAACTTGTTGAGGACATGAAATTAGTAAGAACACAGTAAAGCAACTGATTCCTTTCTGAGTCCAGCCAATCACTAGACTTTCGCTTCATCGTATGGAAAAAGAGATTAGACTAAATTTCTTAACGTATTTTGTAGTTTCACCATAATATTCTGCCTATCATAGTACAGACTTGCTTTTTCCCAATATATTTGTAACTAGAATAGATAAAGGGAAACCAATTTTGATGGCCTATTCTGTAAGCTTTACATATCCCCAATCTACGCACAAGGAAACAGAAGCCAAGAAAAGTTGGATCTATCCAAGATCACCCATCTACTAAGTGTGAGCTCAGGTTTTGGGACCCTTCTGACTTCAGTCTACAGTCTGTACTACTAATCCTGAGGACAAGGACTGGGGTGCTTGGATCCTAGCAGTGTACTGAGGGATTACTCAGCCACAGGATTAATAGCATTTGTTCCTGGAGCATCCTTTTAACTCAAGATTTGAGGAAGCATTTTGATTTGTATTTTGTGGGAGAGGACAGACACAGGTTTTCGGTCTGTTTTGCACATGGGAAGTGGTATAAAACTTTAATCACATTAAAACACTCATGTATTATGGAATATAAAATTCACAAAATTTTTGAGGTAAAATGAGATCAAAGATGTTTTCTGTTTTGTGGCATGACATTTAAGATTACAATTTCACTTCCCTCTGCTCTTTTTTAAAAATAATAGTTGATTCTAAGTGTTTCCTTCAAGATGGTGAATTCAACAGGTTGGACTGAGCGTATGCAGAGTCCGAAATGGAAAGGACCAAGTTAGAGATCCGCGCAACAATGGGAACGATTTCAGAAACGCTGTGTTGAGCAGAATCAGACAGACACAGAAGGGAACCTAGGGCATGGCATGGCTCTGTAGACGTCATTTCCAAAGAAGCAACATCAACCTCTGATGAGAAAGGGATTGGCTGGGAAGAGGGGGCGTTCACTTTCTGGGGTGACATAACATTGTAGATCTTGAAAGGGGGTTGGGGTATGCCGGTGTGTGTACTCCTCAAAGTGAGCAATGTTATACTTAAGATTTGTACAGTTCGTTCTATGTCATTCTTCTTGAGAAGAAATTTTTCTAAAGAAATATTGAATTCTAGTTAATGTTAGCTTTGCTAAACTATTCAGCAGGAAGTACGTTGATGTCTCCAATTGGAAATACATCTAAAATAAGATGGGCTGATGGATGGATAGAGGGATGGAAAGATGGGTCCATATGTGTTGTCATGTTCATTAAAACGTTAACAAATCAAAAAAAAAATAATAATAATAGTTGTATTGAGATATAAATCATACACCATTCAATTCACTCATTTAAAGAGTACAGCTTTATGGAGTTGTGCAACTGTCACCACAATCAATTTGAAAACATTTTCATCACCTCAAAAAGAAACTTTATGCCTACTGGCATTTACTATCCATTTTCCCCCCAACCCCAGCCCTAGATAGTTACTATAGTTACTTTCAGTCTCTATAGATTTGCCTATTCTAGACATTTCATCTAATGGAATTATATAATAGGTGATCTTTTGTGACTGCATTCTTACATTTAGCATATTTATCCAGGTTGTAACATGTATCAGTATTTCCTTTTTATGCCAAATAATATTCTGTTATATGGATATATCACATTTTATTCATTCATAAGTTGGTGGACATCGAGATGTTTCCACTTCTCGATTCATAATGCTGCTGTGAACATTTGTGTACAAGTTTTTGTGTGGATATATATTTTCATTGCTCTTGGGCACATACCTAATAGTTGAATTGCTGGGTAATATAGTAGCCCTATGTTTAATCCTTGGAAGACTGCCAGAATATCTTCTAAAGTAGCTGTACCACTTTACATTTCCACTAGCAGTTTATAAAGTTTTCAATTTCTCTATCAATACTTGTTGTTATATATTATTTAATCATCTTTCTGGGTGTTAAGTGGTATCTTGTGGGTTGGTTGCATTTTTCTGATGACTAATGATGTTGAGCATCTTTCCATGTGCTAATTTGTCATCTGTGTCTTCTTTGGAGAAATATCTTTTTCAGATCATGCTCTTTTTTTAATTGGATTATTTGACTTTTTATTGATGAGTTGTAGCAGTTCTTTATATAGTCTAGATACAAATGTCTTATCAGATTTATGATTTGCAAATATTTTCTTCCATTCTCTGGGTTGGTTTTTTCACTTTCTTAATGGTATTTCTTAAAGCACAAGACTTTTTAATTTTGAAGTCCAGTTTATTTCTCTTTTTTGGTCACTTGTGCTCCTGGTGTGGTATCTAAGAAGGCTTTGCCTAACCCAGGGTTACAAAAATTTACTCCTACATTGTCTTTTAAGATCTTTACAGTTTTAGCTCTTAATCTAGGTCTGTGATCTATTTTGAATAAATTTTTCTGTATGGTATGAGGTGGGGGCTCCAATTTGTTCTTTTACATGTGGATATTCAGTTGTCCCTGCACCATTTGTTGAATTGTCTTGACACCTCTCTGCTCTTAGAGGTAAATCCACTGGAAAATTTTTAGATACACTATGATATTCCATTTGTAGTAATTTCTCTAACAGCTTAGCTTTAAAAATAATACATTATGGTATATGAATCTCCAACACACTGTTACAAATAGATACTCATAAATTTATGAGTATTTTTTCCCTGTGAGAGATACTGTGCCACCTATTTACTGATTTAAGTCTATTCTGTTATTTGGTGTTGTACAAAATTGGTTAAAGTGTAAAGTCCATCTTTCTTTTTCCAGGATGATAGCCTGATTTATTATTTTGGTCATTTATACTCCTGTTTTGATTATTATATATTTGAAAAGTATAAGCTGTTTGTCACCTAATACATGGCACATACATATACATTTGTGTTATGGAATTAGTGATAGTAGATATTTGTTGAATGATTTTTTAAAAAATGACCCAGGTGACTGCCGGGTCAGACATAATATTTCTGACCCAGTTTCTTCATATGTAGGAACTCACTTTAGGATATTCTGGAAATACAAACTAATACTGAAGAACCATTATAGGCCACCAAGATGAATAATGATTATCCTTTACATGTTGTTGTAATACATTTCAGAAAAATTGTGACAATGAAGTATGATGAATAGAAATTCAAGTTGACAGTTATTTCTGTAATTATTTCACAGTAATTTGCATGCAAGTTGGGCCTGGATATTGGAGGGGCTTGAATGTGAGACTGAGGCAGGGGGACCTTTTGAATAAATTTAAATTAAGGGAACATGAACAGAGCTGTGCCCAGGGAGACTGAGTTGGCAGCAGATGTGAGGTGAGAAAGTGGAAGGTTGTAGTAGTAGAGATGGATGAGTGGGTAGCTGTTAAAAATGCTTGGTTTCAAATGCAGGTTTCTGGCCTCTACTCTGGGCTGACTGAATCAGAATCTTCTAGTTAGAGTGACTTGACAGCTGCACTTTTAACAAGCTCCCTTCAGTGATTCTTATGTCTGATGTGCTGTATTAGATGATATGAAGATAGAATTGACTAGACTGGCAACTGATCATATACTCAGGGGATCTCTTTGTGACTGAGAGAATGGTGAAACTGTTTTAAAGGATTGGGAACTAAGGAAGGGGGAAAGATTTGAAGATACGGAGAATGCATTCCATCTGACACATATCAGATTGGACTTGGCAGCAGAACAGCTGTGCAGTGGGACAGGATTGGTTGGGAATATAAAATAGTTACACAAGGAAAGATCCAGAGCAGTAAATAGTGTTTTTCAAAAAGTAAATTTATGAGTACGTTTTCCCAATGAGAAGATACTGTGCCACCTATTTGCTGATTTAAAAGTCTACTCTGTTATTGGAAACAAATATTTGGGTATGGGGAGCTATACTTAGAGAAACCAGGGAATCTACTCAATCCAAGCTTTCATGGAGATCTGCATGCTCTTGACACAAGTTCTAAAATTGTAGCAACCCACATGATATTGTGCACTGATTGAACCCAGTTAAAACTCTCTGAGGGAGGAGTTAAGTTGTACATAAACACTGTTGGGGGAATAAAATATTGAATGAAAGGGGAAGTATCATTGTCTAGATTCTTGTTAGCTGAAATTGCTGAGATATGACTAGGGCTGTGTCTGGAAATACCTGTATGCCTCCTCTATGACTCGTTAGGTTTATTACTCTGTCCTTTGGAGAGGTGGTTTTGTTACTCTGCATTATTTTTGGTTATTGGGTAGCACCAGGAACAAATTTCCCATGCACCACATTCAGAAGGCAGCCTGTCTCAGGCTAAAATAGTAGAGATGTTCTAGATCCCAAGATCCTCGTAAATCAGATTCTGTGCCTTTGGTCTTCATAATTTTAACTCAGTTTTTTAGAGGATCACAGCATCTGTCAGTAAGTATTTGACCACAAGTACACGGATCCTCGGGGTGGTATGTTTGAAAGAAAGAGAAAAAGTGCCTGTCTTTAAGTATTTTCAGTCTACTTGAGAGAATACACAATAAGTGACTCCTGAACTTCATAATCATATTAGTTAAGTCACCGCTCTTCATACCTGGGACCTCAACATGCATACCCATTACCACACCCAGGGTCTTGTTACTCTGAAATCATGCATTCACTTGCTGCATTCTAACTTCAACCCCAGATCTTTGTAACTTTCACTAAATGTTACTCTTAACTAATCTTAATTACTTATTTGACTTCACCAGAACCTCTACGTAGTTGAAAAACTTCTCTACTTCTCACTTACATCTGTCAGTTTCAGCTTAGATGCTGTAGCCCAAATTTCAGCTGCTCTTTAGTCAACATCTTCAACTTTCTTTGTCATCCTTCAGTCTCTGGCACAATCTAAAATCCAGGTAGGATCAGCTGTCTGTTTTATTCATGTCTGTGCCAGGTTTACTGAGTTGCTAGAGAAAACCAGTCAACTGTGTCACTGAAAACTCATGACAGCTGTCAACATTGACTCCAGTTCTACTGTTTCCTTATAGGTTCTCCCATCCTCCACATTAACTGTTTCAGACATTCTGTTCCTCAGACCTCTGAACCTTTTACCACTCTACTCCCTCTCGATAATTAACCCTACCTCTGGCAACTCCCTTCACCTCCAGCCTTCAAACCTGTCAGTTCCCCTACCTTTGCTCCTTCTCTCCTGTTATAATGGAACAGGCATCCTGTCCATCTAAAGTGAATCATTATACCTAAATCACATGTCCTATTTTCTTAGAGATGAAAGAAGACAGAGACTGAAGGCAGGGAGATGTATTAGCAAAAAGCTGCTTTTGTCATCAGAGAATTGATTTTTTTAAAAAGGACAAAGAATCAGATAGCTTTAAGCCTAGGATATTAGTGAAAATAGTTGTTGATAGCAAAATGGAAGTTTAAGAGGGACATGGTATTGAAATTTATTTCAATAGCTGTTGGATTTCTTCCTAAGTTACTGAACCATCGAAGTCCCTGTAGGCTTTGTATGTTTGTTAGTCAACTTCATGTGACTATTGGGGCATGTACAGACTGATGGGGGGGCCTTTTTCCCAATAGCATTTATTTCTTATTCCTCCCTTTTTATAGCAGTATTTTTCAACAAGAACTGGCAATTATCCAATGTGGTAGAATTTCCACCAATTATTTCTGTGGGTTAAAGGAAATATAAGGTGCAATTTATTAAACTGGAAAAATAATCCTTATCTCTGGAGCCTCTGAAAGCTTGGCATGAACTTAATGTTATACAAAAGAATCATTTTAGTTTTTGCATCTGTTTTTATTAAGCCTTTAGAAGAATTTCTAATGTGGCAAATGAGCAAGACACCCAAGAAGGAGTATTGACATGGAGTATAAAAATGGCCCATATGGTACAGGGAGGGGAACATCACACCCTGGGGACTGTTGGGAGTTGGGGGGCTGGGAGGGACAGTGGGAGTAGGGAGGTTGGGGAAGGATAACATTGGGAGAAATGCGTGATGTAGGTGATGGGTGGATAGAGACAGCAAACCACCACGGCATGTGTGTACCTATGCAACAATCCTGCAAGATCTACACATGTACCCCAGAATTTAAGGTACAATAAAAAATAAATAAATTTTGAAAAATGGCTCATATGAAGCATAGAATAGGGCATATATATAAATAGGAAATTGGACAAGTAAAGATAATTTTTTTTTCCAATTTTAGCTTTTAGTTATCTCTAAATAAATGGCATTATTTAAGCTAATATAGGTAAAGCTGGCATATAAATGTTGGTTCTGTCCTCCTGTGAGCTAAAATTCTGAAACTTAACCCAAATAAAGTAGCATTACTGCTTATAAATTGTGTTTTTACATTTTAGGAACCCCGATCGCTGTCCTTCAATGTGTTCATTATGAAGTTATTAGTAATAATTTTGTTTTCTGGACTTATAACTGGTTGTAGAAGTGACTCTTCCTCTAGTTTGCCACCTAAGTTACTACTAGTGTCCTTTGATGGATTCAGAGCTGACTATCTGAAGAATTATGAATTTCCTCATCTCCAGAATTTTATCAAAGAAGGTGTCTTGGTAGAGCATGTTAAAAATGTTTTTATCACAAAAACATTTCCAAACCACTACAGTATTGTGACAGGCTTGTATGAAGAAAGCCATGGCATTGTGGCTAATTCCATGTACGATGCAGTCACAAAGAAACATTTTTCTGACTCTAATGACAAAGATCCTTTTTGGTGGAATGAGGCAGTACCTATTTGGGTGACCAATCAGCTTCAGGAAAACAGATCAAGTGCTGCTGCTATGTGGCCTGGTACTGATGTACCCATTCACAATACCATCTCTTCCTATTTTATGAATTACAGCTCCTCAGTATCATTTGAGGAGAGACTAAATAATATTACCATGTGGCTAAACAATTCAAACCCACCAGTCACCTTTGCAACACTCTATTGGGAAGAACCAGATGCAAGTGGCCACAAATATGGACCCGAAGATGAAGAAAACATGAGCAGAGTGCTGAAAACCGTAGATGATCTTATTGGTGACTTAGTCCAAAAACTCAAGATGTTAGGGCTGTGGGAAAATCTCAATGTGATCATTACAAGTGATCATGGGATGACTCAGTGTTCTCAGGACAGACTGATAAAGCTGGATTTCTGCATCGATCGTTCTTACTACACTCTTATAGATTTGAGCCCAGTTGCTGCACTACTTCCCAGAATAAGTAAGTAAACTTTCAGTTGAGGGAAACTATTGAATGTGGCAGTTGATTGAGGGGAGTGAGTTGTATAAAAAAAATGAAGCTCTGGCTTCTTGTAGTTTAGAGCCATATACTCAGAGTGGGATTATATTTATTTATTCCCTCTTATTTACAAGTTTAGAGCAGTTGGCTTATGGTTTAGTTATGTGGCTTGTGGTTTAGTTTCAAAGTGAGTATTTCTTTGCTTTTGATATATCTCTTAATTATTTGCACTAATGGTAAAAGGAAATTTTTTTCCTTAAACATCTTGGATTTTAGTATGTGATATTTAGTGGAGATAGTGTGAGGTAGCTTTCTTCTACTGATCAAAGAATTAGTAGTTAATAGTAACATGTAATTAGTTTATACTTACTTAGGAATATACACCTGAGAAATGTCTGCTTTTTATAGAAGCCACGATGATAATCCACAAGTGAAACAGAGATTTGTTAATGTTTGAGAAAGGTGTGTGTATGTGTGTATCAGTCCCCAACACTGTCACATTATTATTGCTCTGTTTTAAGAAGAAAGTGATTTAATAGATGACATTATCTATAATTTACTTTCAGTTATTCTAGTTTGGCATATTTTTTTCCTTATCAATCATAACTTGTTTCCTTTGCTGTTTCCTTTTTCCTCAGATAGAACAGAGGTTTATAACAAACTGAAAAACTGTAGCTCTCACATGAATGTTTATCTCAAAGAAGATATTCCCAACAGATTTTATTACCAGCATAATGATCGAATTCAGCCCATTATTTTGGTTGCTGATGAAGGCTGGACAATTGTGCTAAATGAATCTTCACAAAAATGTAAGTATTTAGATGAGATATTTCTGTTGTATCCTAACAAATCATACATTGTGATACTATTCTGTTAAGAGGGTACTTTGATTTAAAGATATTTACACAGAATAATTAGTTCAGTTTTCAACCAGGTAATTCCCAGCTCTTCATTTAATAGCAATTTACAGTAATCACAACTTCACCTTTAAATTAGAAAGTAACTGGAAGAGTAAAAGCATAGTCCTGCTTTCTTTCCAAAACTACAGTTACTCTCAGTAATTTTCAAGATTTATTCTCTTGATTTATAGAAAATAAAAGAAGTAAAGAAACAGTAAACAGGGAGTGATTAGCTAGTCTTTTTTCTTATGTGTATTAAAAAAAAATTTATCTGAGTAACCCTAAGTCTTCCCCAGTGACAAAATGATATACCTGAATGCTACAGCTATTTAGAATACCGGGCAAGAATCAGAAAGTAACCAAACAAAAAAATCCAGCAAGTAAACAAAAGAGCTATATCAAAATCTCTCCTAACATGGAGAAAATGTATAGGGGAGAGTTACAGGTCTTGCTTCAAACTGAAGCTTTTTTAACATATTTCACTTTCAATTCAAAAACTTTTTTTTTAAATCTAATTTTGTGGTCTGTAGCAGGGGTCAGCAAACTTTTTCAGTAAAGGGCCAGACAGAAAATAGTTTAGGCTTTGTGGGTCAGCTGGCCTCTGTCTCAGCTACTCAACTCTGCCTTTATTGTGTGAAAGCAGCCATAGACAACATGTAAACAAATTGAAGTGGTGTGTTTCAGTAAAACATTGTTTACACAAAGGATGGAGGGCTAACCTTGGCTGTGGCTGTAGTGCAGAGTTCCCTAATTTATAGCAATTTAGAAGTATCAGGCAAGCATAGGACAGACTCAGGGCCAGTGAAGTTTGTATATTATTTACATTGATGTTATGTTGCATATTCATTGTTAAAAACTGAAAATATCGAAAGAACAAAAACTACCTGTAATCCCTCAGTACAGATTTATAGGCAAATGTTAATTGTGGGCATTTCCCCCCATCCAATCTTTTTTCTGTTATATGATTGTGTGTGTGTGTGTGTGTGTGTGTGTGTGTGTGTTTTAATATTATTGAAATCTTACTATATATATATTGTTATATTCTGCTTTTTGTCATATAGGTTATTCTTATAATGAAATATTTTAAACATACAACCAAAGAATAATATAACAAATAACAATATACTCATCACTCAGTCATCCGTACTTAATATGAAAGTGGGAGCTTATTCAATACAACTAGTGTACATTAAATGGCATCATTTGTTAAAATAAAGCTAAAAATTGGGAATCTATTATTGGAATTATATTAGGGACTATCACATGCTTTTCCTTAAATCTAACTTTTACTGGGATTATAAATTAGCATCATCAGGTTAGACAACATATTCCATTCAAGATCCCTCCTGTAACATTTTCGGTTACCTGGCCCTCTTGATGTTGGAGTGTTTATTACCTGTGAGTAAACCTGTAACACATTATGTCATCCTCTTTCTTATCACAGGAATAGTTGAGATATGTTAGGCTACAGATTTTCTTTTTCTCCGTTTGCTGGTCTTACTCACTTCTGCTCTCCCCAGTTACACAGAACCCTCAGCTTGACCACTCTCTTTATCAATGGTGCTGTTTGCAGTAAGCTCTTGCAAACAGTGCTGAGATTGATAGGTGAAGTAAGTGGTACTAGGGCTGAAAGATAAGTACATCAGGTTGAGAAGTGGTGGTAAAGTCTGGGGCTATGACCAATTGGGAAAAGGGATGTGTGTGTGTTTGTGTGAGTGACTGAGTGTGAGACAGAAATAGGGAACATAGCTGAGTTGAAGAAATAGAAATTTTTATTTCTGGCCCTTTTCTGACAGAATTGAATGTGTATATACTAGAAGCAAGTTATTTTGTCTTAAAAAGTCTGATATTATTTACTGATGTTGTTTTGTTCTTTTTCAGTAGGTGATCACGGTTATGATAATTCTTTGCCTAGTATGCATCCATTTCTAGCTGCCCGTGGTCCTGCATTCCACAAAGGCTACAAGCATAGCACAATTAACATTGTGGATATTTATCCAATGATGTGCCACATCCTGGGAATACAACCACATCCCAATAATGGGACCTTTGGTCATACTAAGTGCTTGCTAGTTGACCAGTGGTGCATTAATCTCCCAGAAGCCATTGCGATTGTTATAGGTGCACTCTTGGTATTAACCACGCTAACATGCCTCATAATAATCATGCAGAATAGACTTTCTGTACCTCGTCCATTTTCTCGACTTCAGCTACAAGAAGATGATGATGATCCTTTAATTGGGTGACATATGCTGGGGTTTATACACAACTAAGAATGTATCCAAGGAATGATGTTGTAACTATGAAAAAGAGTACTTTGAAAGACAAAGAACTTAGACTAAGCATGTTAAAATTATTATTTTTTTCCTTGTGTTTTGTTTTGGTTGCATTTGCTAATAAGATAACCCTGACCATAGTAAAATTGCTAGTAAATCATTAGGTAACATCAACCCTAGCTAGAAATACTAAAAATGGCTTTCAAGAAAAATACTTCCTCTGCTTTTATTTTGCAGTGAAGATGTGATACATCTTGAAATGAAAATATACCAAAATTTAGTAGGCATGTTTTTCTAATAAATTTATATATTTGTAAAGAAAACAACAGAAATCTTTATGCAATTTGTGAATTTTGTATATCATGAAGGAAAAGGTTCCTATATTTTTATATTTACTTTTAATTAGTTTGTATCTCAAGCACCCTCTTGAGGCAGTAAATGCTCTGTGATGGTTAATAAAATTGGACCAGACAGAAAAGATATAGCAAATGAAGAAATATTTTAAAGGAAACCTATTAAAACAAAAAACAACTGAGACCAATTGATAAAATCTTGAGTTGTCACCATTATGTCTTAAACTGTTGGTCTTAAAGGTTATATCTTTTGAAGATTATTGTTAATAAGAAATTCAGAAGAAAAGAGAGAGAAGTGCTTTTTCCTCTATCTGTGCTTAATGCCTTTATGTAAGTTACTTAGTTGTTTGTTTGCGTGTGCCTGTGCAAGTGCGTTTGTGTGTGTTTGTGTGGACATTATGTGACTTACTATAGAAGGAGGTCAGAGATGGACTGTGGCCAGGCTTCCACATTCCCAAAGAACACAGATCTCAGGAAAGGTTATTTTTGCACCTCATATTTGTTCATTTTGTCCTAACTCACAAGTTAAAATCATAAATTCATTTTATTAACTTTTATTCTCTCATATTTATTGTACCCTGGGGTTTCCAAATGCTGCAGAAAGAATTTATGACCCGAATACAAATCTGAATTTGACTGGGACAGAATGAGGAATGGAGGTTTTTATATTTGTTTTTGGGACTTTATGCCTTACTTTTTAGGCTATAGAATAGTTAAGAAATGTTAAACAGAATTTAGTGTCTTTTGGTCTTTTACACCATTCATATTTTAAGTGGCAGAATAGTTTTAGTGCTGCCTCCACTTTTTTTTTTCCAGTATTTGCATCACAGAAATAATCCTTCTGTTTAACATGTTTCTTCAGAACCAAGGGTTTGTTGTGAAGAACTGTCATCCTGTCTTTGTTAGTACCTTCTAGTAATCAAAAGTAATATGAAGAAACTAAGTTGTGGCATACTGTATTATATTTAATAGGGGAAAAATTGGGCTCATGAACCATTCATCAGTACACAAGACAAGCAGTTAATAGTATGATCTTTGAAGTTTTGATAATATAAAATAAACTTGGTAACTGTTTTACAAATATAAAAGTATAATAAATAGGCAGCCCAGTTGAATGTTGATTATCTATGATGGTAAAAAAACAACAGTGGTGCCAGTCATCAAACATACAATGCATCCTATTGAGTCACTGCTAATTTCTTGAGCCTGGTATTTGCTGCCTATTGTATTTGGGGTTGTTGAGAGGCGTTTTCAAACCCTGTATAAATAATCTATGCTGTTGGTCATAAGTTGACTATATTAAGAACAGTAAAATAAATAAAACCCAACAGTACTAATTTTGCTTTTAGATAAATTTTATTTCCAATTTTTTTCACAAAAGATAGTTATCCTAAAGGTTAATAGTTGATCTGAACAGAGTAATAGAAAAGTTCTACTTTAATTTCCATTAAAAAACAAATAAAATTGACACATTTAAAGTAGTGGATTTTTTGAAGTATCTAAAATAGCAGCAGAATAATTTATACTTGGTCCTTGCAATTGTATGGGGTTTTAACGATTGCATTAGGTTGATTGGTGGTTATGACTTTCAGAAATCTATACTTGGCCTCCAACTCATGAGTGGATTTTATGTAGAATGGGATAGGAAGGGATGTTCTGTATCTTAATCCATTCAACAAGACATTTACCTATTTGTCTTTCCTTACATTCTCAAAATATTAACTTGAATTGTAAATTAAGCAAAAATTTTAAAAGTATATGTCGATGGGACAAGAAGAATAGTATTTATTTAATAAAAACATATATATTATATTGAACTATGTGTTAATTCATTTGTATCTTTAAAAAAATTATCACTGTTAAAGTCTATGACTCCTTTAGTGCACTGAGAACATGTTACAGTGAAACTAGCCTTTTACATTAAGGTTTTGGTATGTATTTTGTTAAATAACTAATACGCTGCTCTGTTTTCTGGGTGGTAAAAAGTATTTGGCTCCAGGAAACATTTAATTGGTCATGACAACAATACCCCAAGGTAATAGGAAAAATTTTCATTAAGTGTTTTTTATTCAGTCAGTGAATTCAGAATAAGTACATTCATGTATAACATAGGGACAATTCTGCTGCTATTTATATGTGATTCTTCTGATAAACAATAGAATAAAACATATTTCAATGTTTGTGTATAGGTTTTGCATTATTATTTCATAGGTTTGGTATAAGAATTTGTAGATAAATTCTTGGCACATTAAAGTATTAAAATGTTTTTACATTGTTCTTGGGTGTCTCCCTCTTGTGCCCGTAACTGATAGGCTATGGATGATTGCATTTAATTCCTTTTATTTGGATGGTTTTACTTCCTTGTTAACACATAAAGTTGTTATAAATGAAGGATGAGGAGGAGATGGAAAATGTGTATTTATTGTCAACTCTTGAAATAGTGTGTAAATAAAATAACATGAGTGTGCTTTAAAGAAGTATCTTTGTGGTGCCTTAATTTAAATTAAAATATTTTTGACATATTGTTTGAATTCAGAATTAATGACTTTGTTCATGATTTTTTAAATTTGTGTGAATAAAATCTACCAAAATGTTCTTACTGTAATTATTAAATATAAAGTTCAGTGTCACTGGTAATTTTTACATTTGTTACCTTCTTGCAAAATATACTTACTGTGCTAGATGTTGACATGACTTAGTTATATTATAGAAGCCCACATAGGTATTTATTAGGATTTTTTAAAACTCTTTAACAAAAATTTTAAAACAATGTATACATACACAATCCAGCATAAGGGCATCATTGGAAAGAAAGCCAAGATAAGTTTTGCAGAGCCTCCAGAGCTTATTGGCTTATGGTAGAAGAGAAGAGGTTTGAAAAAACTGATTATAAAATAGTAGGGATGGTGGGGGAGGCATTATAATATATAAACTTTGTTTTGTACATAGCCATAGGTATTTAATGACTTATCCAGTTGAATATAGATTCAACAAGGCTCCCTCTATTGGCAGTAATTAATTCATTTTCTATTTTTATATTAAGAGAACACTGCTAAGAATTGTAGGAAAACAAAAGAATAAATGGCACTTTCTTTACTCTGAAACAGAGAATTCTTTTAAAAGTGGTAAAACTTTATTTATGCCAACAAATTATCTATGTGTACACGTGGGTTAATTCTTGCCGCTGAGAGCCTTGTATCCAGAATCATTTTCCAGACCTTGGGCTTCCTGAGGTTCAGATGATAACTTTGCCTCTTCCCACCACTCCCAGCCTCTTTAGTGCCTGTATTTGCTTATTATTACATCCCTCTCACCCCTTCCTCCATAGTGTACATTCACACACACTCACAACCATTGCTTGAAAGAACATGTGAAAATCTAAATGATCCAATGGATTCTGGAGCCCTGTAACACACAGACATGTTGATTACAACGTGTGTGTGTGTGTGAAAGTGTATTTGTGAAGAACTATTTTTATATATCCTATATGCTAGTCTTTTTTAGGATATGTGGTTTGCAAGTACTTCCTCTGTAGCTTATCTTTTTAGCCTCTTCTCATGGGTTTTCACAGAACAACAAATAAACCTACTTTTGATGAGGCCCAGTTTACCAACTTTTTCTTTTATGGGTTGTGCTTTTGGTGACAAGCCAAATACCTCTGTCTCGCCCTAGGTTTTGAAGATTTTCTCCTATGTTTTTTCTAAAAGTTTAGTTTTTCATTTAAATCTATGATACATTTTGAATTATATTTTATATAAAGTGTGTGGTTTAGGTCAAGGTTCAGGGTTTTGTTGTTGAAAAGGCTATTCTTTCTCCATTGATTTGCTTTTTAAACTTTGTCAAAAATCAGTTGGGACTATTTATGGGGATTCATTTCAGATTTCTCTATTCTGTTCCATTAATCTATGTGTCTCTCTGCCAACACCATACTGTCTTGATTACTGTATCTATACAATAGGACTTGATATCAGGTAGATTGATTCCTCTAGCTATATTCTTTTTCAGTTTTGTTTTACCTATTTTAGGGCTTGTGTCTTCCCATATTAATTTTAGAATAAGTTTGTCTATGTCTACAAAAAAAAATGCTTTGCAGGGATTTTGAACAACAGGAATCGCAGTAAATCTATAGATCAATTTGGGGAGTTGGCACTTTTACTATGTTGAGTCTGCCAACTTTTGGACATGATATGTCTCTTTATTGAAACCTTCTTTGATTTGAAGGCTCTTTTGATTTATTTTGTCAGTATTTGGTAATTTTCAGGATCCTGTACCCATTTTATTAAGTTTATATCTAAGAATTTTATTTTCTCTGGAGTGAATGTGATAGTAATATGTTTTTAATTTTAGTTTTCATATATTTATTGTTAGTATATAAACATTGATTAATCTTTATGTGTTTATCTTGTGTCTTGAGACCTTGCTGTTAGTTCTAAGAGTTTCTGTTTTGATTTTTAGATTCTTTGGGATTTTCTACAAAGGCATGTCACCTGGGAATAGGGATAGTTTTGTTTCTTTTTTATCACAATACATGCCTTTTTCTCTTTCTTTTTTTTATTGCATTTTAGGTTTTGGGGTACATGTGAAGAACATGCAAGATTGTTGCATAGGTACACACATGGCAGTGTGATTTGCTGCCTTCCTCCCCTTCACCTATATCTGGCGTTTCTCCCCATGCTATCTCTCCCCACCTCCCCACCCCCGTTCCTCCCCCATTTCCTCCCAACAGACCCCAGTGTGTAGTGCTCCCCTCCCTGTGTCCATGTGTTCTCATTGTTCAACACCCACCTATGAGTGAGAACATGCAGTGTTTGATTTTCTGCTCTTGTGTCAGTTTGCTGAGAATGATGGTTTCCAAGTTCATCCATGTCCCTACAAAGGACATGAACTCATCATTTTTGATGGCTGCATAATATTCCATGGTGTATATGTACCACTTCATAACCAAAACACATTTTTTTCTTTCTAGAAGGAACTTCAGTAGCTAGAACTTCCAGCACTGTGTTAAATAAGAGTGATGATAGCAGACATCCTTCACCCATTCCCAGTCTTAAAAAGAAAGCATTCAGTCTGGTGAAAGACGGAAGACTGAATGCTTTAAGATTTTTTTAAAAATATATATTTTTAAAAAGATGTTATTTGTCAAGTTGAGATAGTTTCCTTTTTATTCCTAACTTGCTAAGAGTTTTTTTTTCCTTCTTTAAAAAAAGAAAGACAATCTTAGCATTGGATATTTTCAAGTGCTAATTCTCCATAGATTAATGTGATCATATGTTTTTCTTTAGCTTGTTGGAGCTTTTCAATAACGAATTCAATTTATTTATTGTTTATAATGCTATTCAGATTGTTTCATCTTGGTTAAGTTTTAGTAGCTTGTGGTTTTCAATTTTTTTTTCTTTTTTTTAAATTTATTTATTTTACTTTAGGTGCATACTGTATCTGTCATTTCTTCCCATGTTATCTCTCCCCTACCCCCAACTGTCCCCTATGTGTGATGCTCCTCTCCCTGAGTCCACGTGTTCTTGTTCAACACTCATCTGTGAATGAGAACATACGGTGCTTGGCTTTCTGTTCTTGGATCAGTTTGCTGAGAATGATGGTTTCCAGATTCATCCAAGTCCTTACAAAGGACACAAACTCATCGTTTTTAATGGCTGCATAGTATTCCCTGGTGTATATGTACCACATTTTCTTTGTCCCGTCTGTCATTGTTGGGTATTTGGGTTGGTTCCAGGTCTTTGATATTGTACACAGGGCTGCAATGAACATACATGTGCGTGTGTCTTTATAGTAGAACGATTTATAGTTCTTTGGGTATATACCCAATAGTGGGATTGCTGGGTCAAATGGAATTTCTATTTCTAGATCCTTGAGAAATTGCCACACTGTCTTCCACAATGGTTGAACTAATTTACACTCCCACCAACTGTGTAAGAGTGTTCCTATCTCTCCACATCCTCTCTAGCATCTGTTGTCCCCAAATTTTTTAATGATCGCCATTCTAACTGGCATGAGATGATATCTCAGTGTGGTTTTGATTTGCATTTCTCTAATGACCAGTGATGATGAGCATTTTTTCATATGTTCATTGGCCTCATATATGTCCTCTTTTGAAAAGTGTCTGTTCATATCCTTTGCCCACTTTCGAATGGGGTTGTTTTTTTTTCTTGTAAACCTGTTTTAGTTCCTTGTAGATTCTGGACATTAGCCCTTTGTCAGATGGGTAGATTGCAAAAATTTTTTCCCATTCTGTTGGCTGCCAATTCACTCTAATGATGGTTTCTTTTGCTGTACAGAAGCTCTGGAGTTTACTTAGATCCCATTTGTCTATTCTGGCTTTTATTGCCATTGCTTTTGGTGTTTTAGTCATGAAGTCCTTGCCTATGCCGATGTCCTGCATGGTTTTGCCAATGTTTTCTTCTAGTGTTTTTATGGTGTTAGGTTTTATGTTTAAATCTTTGATCCATCTGGAGTTAATTTTAATGTAAAGTGTCAGGAAGGGGTCCAGCTTCTGCTTTCTGTACATTGCTAGCCAGTTTTCCCAACATCATTTATTAAACATGGAGTCCTTTCCCCATTGCTTCTTTTTGCTAGGTTTGTCAAAGAGCAGATGGTTGTAGATGTGTGGTGTTGCTCCGGAGGCCTCTGTTCTGTTCCATTGGTCTATGTCTCTGTTTTGGTACTAGCACCATGCTGTTTTGATTACGGTAGCCTTGTTGTATAGTTTGAAGTCTGGCAGTGTGATGCTTCCCGCTTTATTCTTTTTGCTTAGGATTGTCTTGGCTATGCGAAGTCTTTTGTGATTCCATATGAAGTTCAAAGTGTTTTTTTTCCCAGTTCTGTGAAGAAGGTTATTGGTAGCTTGATGGGGATATCATTTAATCTATAGATTACTTTGGGCAGTATGGCCATTTTCACAATATTGATTCTTCCTAACCATGAGCATGGAATGTTTCTCCATCTGTTTGTGTCCTCTCTTATTTCATTGAGCAGTGGTTTGTAGTTCTCCCTGAAGAGGTCCTTTACATCCTTTGTTAGTTGTATTCCTAGGTATTTTATTCTCTTTGTAGCAATTCTGAATGGGAGTTTGTTCTTGATTTGGCTCTCTGTTTGTCTGTTATTGGTGTATAGGAATGCTTGTGATTTTTGCACATTGATTTTGTATCCTGAGACTTTGCTGAAGTTGCTTATCAGTTTGAGAAGATTTTGGGCTGAGATGATGGGGTCTTCTAGATATACAATCATGTCATATGCAAAAAGAGACAGTTTGACTTCCTCCTTTCCTAATCGAATACCTTTTATTTCTTTTTCTTGCCTGATTGCCCTGGCTAAAATTTCCAATACTATGTTGAATAGGAATGGTGAGAGAGGGCATCCTTGTCTAGTGCCTGATTTTAAAGAGAATTCTTCCAGCTTTTGCCCATTCAGTATGATACTGGCTGTAGTTTTGTCATATATAGCTTTTATCATTTTATGGTACAGTCCATCAATACCTAGTGTATTGAGAGTTTTTAGCATGAAGGGCTGTTGAATTTTATCGAAGGCTTTCTCTGCATCTATTGAGATAATCATGTGGTTTTTGTCTTTGGTTCCATTTATGTGATGGATTACATTTACGGATT